TTTTTGTGGGGTCTTTGACTGGTTTTGATATTAGAGTGACACTGGCCTCATAGAATGAGTTTACAAGTGTTCCCTCCTCTTCTACTTTTTGGAAAACTTTAAGGAAGATGGGTATTAGGTCTTCATTAAATGTTTGATAAAATTCAGTGGTGAAGCCATCTGGGCCAGGGGTTTTGTACTTAGGTAGTTTTTTGATTACCAATTCAATTTCGTTACTGGTAATTGGTCTGTTCAGATTTTCTGTTTCTTTTTGGGTCAGCCTTAGAAGGTTGTATTTTTCTAGAAAGTTGTCCATTTCTTTTAGGCTATCCAGGTTGTTAGCACATAATTTTTCATAGTATTCTCTAATAATTCTTTGTATTTCTGTGTTGTCTGTAGTGATTTTTCCTTTCTCATTTCTGATACTGTTTATGTGTGTAGACTTTTTTTTTTCTTGATACGTCTGGCTAGGGGTTTATCTATTTTGTTTATTTTCTCAAAGAACAAGCTCCTGCTTTCATTGATTCTTTCTATTGTTTTAGTCTTCTTGATTTTATTTATTTCTGCTCTTATCTTTATTATGTCCCTCCTTGTACTGACTTGGGGCCTCATTTGTTCTTCTTTTTCTAGTTTCATTAATTGACTCCTTCACTTCTTTTAGATGGCTGCTTGTATGCCACCTCCTCAGGGAAGTCTTCCCTGACCATTCTGCCTAAAACAGAAAATTCTTCCATTATTCCATGTCTCTTTTTCTGCCTTTATTTTTTATCTGAGCACTTAGCATCACCTGAAATTATATTATACATTTGTTTACTCATATATCACCTATCTCTCTCAACCTTAGAATAGAAACGTCATGAAAGCAGGGACTTGGTAATATCTATTGCTGTACTTCCAAGGCCTAGCACTGTGTCTGATACTAGATGTTCAATGCATGTTTATTGAATAAATAACAGAAATTAAATTCAGCTGTATGTCAATCACATCTCAATAAAGCTGGGAAATAATTAACATTAAAAAATTAAATTCAGTTTTTAAAAAAGTTTTATTTCTGATTTTATGAACCAAGAATTCATAGCTGCAATAGACGCCAGTTGTAATTTTTCTCAAAACACCTCCTCCCCCGTGTACCTACATGTTTCTCCTTAATATGAAGATTTTCTGGAGATTGTGATTAGGAAGCAAGCAACAACACTCTGGGAGCACTGACCCAGGTGAAGCTAAATGTCCCCTCTCTGGACTTTCATGGAACCCTAAGCACAGCACTATTTATTTATCCATAATTCTGTCAATAGTTATTTCCTTTTCTTTTGATACTGTGAACAATGCTGGTAGAAATATTCTCTTCTCCTACTGCTCCCTCAGGGGCACTTCTAACTGCTTCTGCCAAAGACACATGGAGCAAGACTCAATGAGGGAAGAAGTGACAAGATATGACAGGGGAGATATTCAGCCAACACTGGTGTGTGTTCAGGTCAATTCAGGACACATCAGTCACTGTCCTCACTTGAGTCTCGGAGAAGCTGATGACACTGTTCACTAATGCCTCCTGCTCTTCTCTTGGCTTCTGGGAAACCATTTTCTCCTTTCTGCATTCTCTTGCTCATGGCTCCTTTGCAAGCATCTTCTCCTGACCAGACATCTATCTGCTGGGTGCACTTTTTCTTGACTAGGAAGGGGCACTGCTCTCCTCTCTAAGGGCTTCCAGGGTCATACAGTCTCAGGGCATTAATAGCACATATAAACTGATAATTTCACCCTAAAACATATCTCCATCCCAGACTTCTCTAAGAAATATATGGTCTAAAGCCCACTGACTACATAATGTCTCCCCCGGATGTCTCGTAGGCATCTAGAGCTTATTACAAAACAACAAAACAACTCTTGTTTTGTCTCTAGTCTTCCCTTTTGCTGGAAATGATACCAACATCCACATTAAGTGTGGATTAAGTCCTGTTCACTCTACCTCCAAAATGTATCTTGAATCTGTCCACTTCTCTCCACTACACATCATCTCTCACCTGCATGACCGCAAAAGCCTCCTCAGTGGTCTTTATGCATAGTATGTGCCAGCCCCTACAGTTTCTTTTCTTCATAGCAGCCAACAAATCTTAAAAATATAAGTCTATCTCTTGTCTGCTTAAAAACTACCAGTGGTTTCTTTTACTTCATACTACATACATTGTACTTTGAAAAGAAAAATCCTTATGCATATCAGAGTCTATAGATGCTACACATCTGGCTCCTGCTGACCCCTGACAACTTTTCCACTCATTCTCTGTCCCATGAAGTCCCAGTTATATTAGCCTTTCCTTTGTTCTTGAACATGCAAGCTATACTCCACCTCAAAGCTTTCACCTTTCCTTCTGCCCAGAACTTTCTTGCCTAAGTCATGGCTAAGTCTTCAACCTTCAGGTCTTGGCACTTCCTCAGAAAAAATCTCCCTGATCTTCTCTACTGAAGCACTTCCCCTCACTACTCCCCCTATCCCAACATTGTTCTCTATCCCTGCAGAATATCTTCCGTTTATAGACCTTGCTAATTGGCTGTCTTTGCCACTAGACTGTTGGCTTCCAAGGACAGGGATCACATCTGTTTTACACACCAGTGCATCCTCAGTGCCTAAGTTAGAGCCTGGCACATAGTAAATACTCAATAAATATTTGTTAAAAAATGGGTTAATTGGCCTCCACTGGGTGAAGAGGATACAGAAACGATGCAGATATGATCCTTCCATTCCATAATGCCAGAGTCTGAAGGATGAAACACAGGTAAGTAGGCAATTGCAAAACTGGTAATACAGTGGAGATCAGAACTGAAAGCAGTAAGAACATAGATTCATACCCCAAAGTGAGGTATGTGTGTGAATAGAGGGAAGCTGTGTTTACATGATCCAAGGCACCAGCATCTCCCTGGTGGAAATTCAGTTTCTTCTTGTAATAATGAATATTTATCTAGTATACAAAGTTCCATGTACTGTTTCTTGTTTATTTTATTTGTTTTAAAGTGCCCAAGGTCATACAATAGACCTGGGATTCAAAGCCAGGCAGTCTGGCTCCCAAGCTTACATCATTTTTCCTTCTTCCTTAATACTTTGAGGTGAAAATAACATAAAATTAACCATTTTAAAGTGACCAATTCAGTGGTAGTTAGTACATTCACAGTGTTGTGCAACACTACTTCTATCTAGTTCCAAAATATTTAAATAATTCCAAAGTAAAACTCCTTTCCCATTAAGCAGGTTCCCCCCATTAGCCTCCACATACTGTTCTTGATCCTCCCAACCACCCAATTGTACAATTGAGGAAAGTGACGCTTTGTGAAGTTTAGTGATAGGTCCAAGATTACAGAGCCAGTAAATGTGAAGCAGCAATTTTAATCTTTAGTTTTCTGACTGTAGAGCCTAAAACTTTAATACACATCTTTGGGCAAATCTACAAGGTGGGGGTTTTCAAAGAGAGTAAAATTTTTTTCCGGCAGGAGAACTAGAAGCCATAAGTGCTCCCGCAATTGTAAAAATCTGCACGTTGACGTAAAAGTGCGATTAGTACTGTACAGGCAGTTTGGCAGAGCCAAAAGTAATCTAAGCCCAAGAGCAGCTATAATGCAGGGACTTGGAAGTGTCAGCACTGGAGGAAGCTTTGCCAAAGCCTCAAAAACAAGGAGTTTGTAATTCTTTGGGAAGCTTCTATATTCCCCAAGCTGAAAGTTGAAGGGAGGCAGACTAGCCAGCAGGTTGTGGTTTGCCTTCGGGTTGGCCCAGCCAGGAAACCCCTGGTGACTGTTTTCTAGAGAAGCTGAGGACGCAACTGGAGAAGATGAAGTAGGAAGCAGGCTTCAGGCCAACTGCATTCCGCTCTGAGGGGCCCTCCAGGGCAACGGGAGTCTCAGGAGCAGAAGGTCTCGCCTTAGTACTCCTTCTCCCACCTGAAGGGGCTGTCATCACGTTAGCATTCCACGTCTACAACATAGGGGCTCTCTCTGGGGCTTCTTCTCTTTCTCTCTGGAGGTCAACGATTCTACAGTTACGCCCTTTTTAGGGGTCTCAGAGCGCGCACCTAAATTTCCTCTCATTGTTTTCTCTCCTCCTTTGAATGAGAAGGCCCCCCGCACCTTCTTCAGGCTTGGGATGGTGCCCGAGTTCTAGTTTAAAAAGGCACAGCCCTCGGCCCAACCTCGTCTCGCCCGCTCCCGAGGGAAGCTCCATGGAAACCAAAACATCACTCCTCGGAGATATCGCGAGAGGCGCGGTTTCGCCCGCGGCCGCTGAGAGGAGGAGAGGGGGCGGGAGCAAAGTCGAGTGGGAGGAGTCTGGGAGCTTCAGAGGACCAGGGCGGGAGACCGCCCAACCGCGCCCCCGCGTGACTGTGCTTTACATAACCGCGGCCGCGTGCGTCACAGTGGCGTACGCTAGTCCAGACCGAATCAGAGTCATCAGAAGCTTCGTATTCCACCCCTTCGTGCTTGATGGACGTCGAAATGAACCAGTGAACGGGCGTCCAGCGCCGCCGCGCCCGCCCAGGTCCGCCGGCACACCCGGCCCTCCCGCCTGCCGCAGCCCGCAGCCTGCCGCCGCCGCCGCTGCCGCCGCCGCAAGCTTCTGCTTCAGACTGTCAGATAAAGCGGCGGCCGGGCCGGCTAGGTGGTGAGCACGGCCCGGGCCAGACATGGCGGCGCTCTACGCCTGCACCAAGTGCCACCAGCGCTTCCCCTTCGAGGCGCTGTCTCAGGGGCAGCAGCTGTGCAAGGTGCGCGGGCTGGGGCGGCGGCCGGGAACTGGGACGCTGGAAGCGCGGCCCGGAGCCCCCGGTTCTATGGGGACGCCCGGCGGGGTCTCCCGGGCAGGGCGTGGCAGGCCTGCTTCGCTGAGGAGCTGCACCCGCTCCGTTGGGGGCCTATGGGGCACGTGGGGAAGACCCGGACCCAGTCCAGGACCCCGCGGCCGGCGTGTCCGGGTGCTTAGCAACCGCGAGAGATTGTTCTCGGACCCCGGGGGAGGAGACAGCGGGTCCCCTGCTTACCCCGACTAGGAGCGCCGGAGATCCCTCTTGGGTTGACTTCCCTGTCGACGGGGTCTGCCTGGTTTGCAGACTGAGGGACCGCCTGCCCTTCCTGGGACTGAACTCCATAGTCAGATGCTACCTGGGAGTAGCGTCTCGAACTCCCGGCGCCTCACGGACTCTTTTCAGCCAGTCTGAGTTGGAGGTGACGAGGTTCTATAGAAAAACCCCACTAGTAAGCACACGAAGAAAAGATGATTTTTCACCATCCAGTTGGTGAACTTCAGTCCTCTCCCTAGCCAGCTGCTAATCAGTTTTTACCCCTGAAGGTCTAAGTTCTCTTTTTCGTTTAAGTTACTTCATCCTGCTTTGCCTATTTAAATGAGTAGAAGAATAGAAGTGCTGAGGGGCAACAGCTAAAAGTCACCAAGCCGGTCGGAGAGTGATGTTGATACTCCCAGTTATCCCGAGTGTGTGTCTCTGATACGGACAGCTCATCGTTGTATGTCACTGTTGCCTCAAATGGCCATTACTTTGTCACTGTTTACCGTGTATGAGATAACTCAAGATATTCGAGGGCCTTCTTTGGCCTTACAAATACTTGATTTTAAGTACTATATATTGTAAGAAATAACGATTCTAATGCAGCACTTTCATTTCACAAGTGAACCTGCCCAAAAATCACAGTGTCAATGGCAGAACCGGGACTAGAATCCAGGGCTTCTGATTCCCAGTATGAGGCTTATTCGTACATACCTTTGTTTTACAATTTATGACTAGTTCCGTAAAATTTCTTACTCAACTCCCACATCAATGCATGGCAGCGATGCCAGTATTGTAGAGGAAAAAATAAGGCCCAGAAAGTTTAAGTGACTCACTCAAGCACAGTAGCTGTGCTGGGAATAGTACCCAGGTCTTCTGCCTCCTACTGAAGGCTGTTTCCATTTCTGACTGCCTTTTGAAATCATATCCTCATTTCATTTCAGGAATGTCGGATTGCACACCCTGTTGTCAAGTGCACCTACTGTAGGACTGAGTATCAGCAGGAGAGGTACAGTTTTCATTGACCATGAAAGATGTTAATAGGCTTTTTCCTCTTAAAAATCTGTAATTGATTGCATTTCATTGTACAGATTCTATAGTTTTTTAATTATAACACATTGAGGGGTGTAAATATACATATTATTCCCTAGTTGTCCATTGCTTAAATTTTTTAAGTTACTGTTTTTCAGATCTTTGAGCATTTTATATTGTGGTTATGAACTTTATGACACTAAGAAACCACAATAGTAAAATATGGGCTTCATGTTACAGTATATTTATATACAGAGCTTGAAGAATGTATAAGCCAAAAGAAGATACTTTTGGAAATATGACAATCCTGATACAGTGTTTGTTATCCCTATTCACATTTGAAACTCACTTGCCTTGTGTGACTCTCATTTTTAAAGTGAAAAACACTTAGATGTAGTGAACACATATCATGGGGGACTTCTCAAAAACAGCAAAGTGGTTTATTGGTAAAGTAAACTCTTGTGGAACTGCAACTGTAGATGATAGTACATTAAGCAGTGTGGGATCTTTGCTAGCTCTCGCATAGACCTAGAAGCCTAATTTAAAAGTCAGCCTCATATCAAGTCTAGGAATATTTTCAAACCAAAAAAGGTTGAAAGAATTAGACAGTAAACACCCAAATACCTAGTATTTAGATTGTATAATTTACTTTTACTGTATTTGCATCTATCCATCTCTCTATCCATTAATGTATTATTCTGTCTTATTTGTGATATGTTTTAAAGTTGGGGATGTGAGTATCCTTGACCCTAAACACTTCAGCATGCGTATCATTAACTAGAGTTCAGTATTTCTTTACAGTCCTTGATCTTTTTAGAGGTAAAATTTGCACATAGTAAAATGCTCAAATCTTGAGTACATCATTCAGTGAATTTTACAAACAGTATACATCTGTGTAACCCCAAACCTTATCAAAATACAGAACATTACCATCACCTCATGCCCCATCTCAGTCAATTCTCACCCTCTTAGCTTCCCCCAAGCAACTACTGTACTGATTTTCCCTTCCACTCGGGATTAGTTTTACCTGTTCTAGAATTTCATAGAAATGGAAACACACAGAATATACTCTGGAAGCTTTATGTCTTAACATTAACACTTACGTAAATGATCCATCTTGAATTAATTTTCGTGTGTGGGGTGAGGTAAGTTTGACTCGTAATTCACACTGTACATAAAAATTAATTCATGATGGATCACAGAGTTTTTCTTTGCATGTTTTCTAAGATGTCAGGAGCATTTGTAAGTATTTTATATATATATATATACCACTCCTTCAGTACTAAATATAAACATAAACCAGGATGTTTAACATCACAGAATCCCTGATGTGAATTTTCTTTCTAGAAGTCTCTTTCAATGTACTTCACTTACTGTACACCCTTTTTAATGGCAGAAAATTGCCCTGGAAAATATTTTGTTTGAAAATCTCAATTTAAGTGTTTTCTACTTGGAGGTTTTTTCTTTTGTTTGTTTTAACTTTATGGTCACTGTCATAGGAATTGTATGGGAAAATATTCACAAAATAGTGAATAGGGATTTTTATGTGATTTTTACTTTTAGTTCCCAGCATATTGTTTAAATTCTTCTTCCACATCAGGCATTTGCTTGTACCTCCCTTGGTAAAGAGTTAGATTTTATTTGAAGATGATTTTTTATTTCCCCAAGGCAGTTTATGAGTTCAGATGTTAAGGTAATATATGACCTCTGGATCTTCGTAAGGCAAAAGACGTTTGTTTGTTTTTTTGTCAGTGGTTAGCAATTAGAGAAATTGGAAATATTGACAAAATATTTGGTCATGGCATCTGTTTCTCACATTTAGGATTTTCTTAAGTTTTTACAGAGGAGAATGTAGACAGAGAAAGGTCAAGATGGATAGAGTCTACAAGTTTTTATTCCAAACACATATACTTTATTCCTCAGCACAATTTCTCAGTGAATCGTCTGAATTGAAGAAGAGTATTAGCTTCTTTTCTGCTAGTCCATTTCAGTCTAACATAATATTCTTTTGAGGGTTCTTTCCATTTCTGATAATTTTACTTAGTGATAACTTGGAGACATCATAATGAAAAGTGACTCACTTTCCATTTCAACCAAAACTTCATTTTATCTAAGCTAATAAAATTAGTATCTAAATAACTAAAAGAGCTGTTGGTCAGATACTTAACCTTCAGTTAACCAAGTGTCCAGACCATGTATCACCTTGGCACTTAGCAATGAGCAAATTCCTTAGGCTAAAGGAGGAATCAGTTTTCAGATGTTCAAATAAAACAATTTTTTCTTAAAAAAGCCTTGTATCTATTTATTCTCAACAGTAAAACCAATACAATATGCAAGAAGTGTGCTCAGAATGTGCAGTTGTATGGAACGGTAAGTAGGCTTTTTCTGTACCTAACAGTGAATACTCAGATCTCTTGGAACATTATATTCTATAGCTTATTAAGATAACTACCCTGTTTTTATTAGAATAACTAGTATGTGTAAATATTTTCTCAGAAAAATTATCTAGTGTTTGAGCTTTCAAATTTAGCTAATACTTCATATTGAGTAATTCTTTGTTTATAGTTACTATGGCAGGATTGTGGTTATTATTTTCCTTGAGAGGCTTTAGTAACCAGTATGGATGGAGGAGGGGAAAGATGGATCCTATGACATGACCTCTTTGTTCGGTAACAGTTGACTATTCATTTTGATGGAATGTTTTTTTTTCTCTCTCTAAGTGTTAGGATTCAGGATACTATGTCCTTGCAGGCATTTTCCCAACATGTTTATACACTGTTAAAGGCAAAGAGACTTTTTCAGTCTCTTTACTGGTTTCTTCAAAGAGCTCGTTCTATAAATTTCTCATAGAAATCCCAGCGTATACACTAATGGGTTTTTGTTATTTGTTCATTTATTTTAAAATCAGTAGCTCTGTGCAGAAAAACACTGTACATAGTGTTAGGAATTGGGCTTCATTTGATCAATGTGAAAGGAAATTTATGAAGTTGGGAATACATTTTAACCATGACTTGGGCTATATAATAGGAATCATTGCTTAAAAAATGCACTGGTATTTTATAATATACTTTATGACCTTTTTTTTTTCTCTTTTAAGCCCAAACCTTGTCAGTATTGCAACATAATTGCAGCATTTATTGGCAACAAATGCCAGCGCTGCACAAATTCAGAGAAGAAGTATGGACCACCATATTCCTGTGAACAGTGCAAACAGCAATGTGCCTTTGACAGGAAAGATGATAGAAAAAAGGTAAATTTCTTGTACTTTTTTTTCTTTCAGAGAAATTAAAATGGGCCAATTTTGTTAAAAACATATAACAGAAACAATTCTCAGTTCCTCTCCTGGTTTTGTTACTGACCTTGAAGAAGATATCCAGTCTTTGTTTTCTTCATTTACCAAATGTGGACCGTTCTAACATTTCATGAGTTAGGATTTCATGAAAATCTGAATTACAGAGATCAATATCCCATATAAGTGAAGTGGTGATTGGCAAAATTATATAGAACTCTGTAAAGGAGAGCTTATGGCTTAAGCAATATATAGTTATATTAACAGTTCTACTCTCTCTTTAAATGTTTCTTTCAAAGTTAAAGGTCACGAGATGATGATGTAAAGTGCTATGTGGAATGAAGGTACCTTGGTAGGATCAAAATGGTTTAGAAATGTCCTGTTTAAAATTCTCCAGTGGCTTCCAGTTGCACTTAGAATAAAACCCAAACTCCTTCCATGGCCTGCAAGGCTCATACCAGTCTCATCTCCCGTCATATTTCCCACTTTGCACCTTGTTCCAGCTGCCCAGGCCACCTTCCAGTCCTCAGACATGCCGCTCTCATTCCTGCCTTGGCACTGGCTGTGGCTTCCCCTGATACACCCTTCTCCAGTATATATCTGGCTCCTCCTGTCAGATCTCTGCTCAGATGCTACCACCTCAGAGACCTTCTGCTAAGTCCCCTAGTCACTCTTTATCATACTACCCTGTTTTATTATCACCATAGCATGTGACATTGTGAGAAATCATTTATTTGCTTACATGTTTGTCCACTCCCACAGAATCTTTGTCCATCTTTGGAGCTCTTTGTCCATCTTCTCTGCTACATTTCCAGTGGCCTAGCATGTAGGAGATGCTCAATAAATATATATTTTTTAGATTGATATGTATCATACTTATTGAGAACTATTTCCTCTCCCTTTTAGCTCTCTTAACCTGACATGGCCAAAATATTAATCTGAAGTATATCTTCCAGCTTGCTGTTAGTTATTGAAAAAAATTGTGCTTCTCATTTTATACTTTTTTAAAAGTGACTAAACCGATTGTTTTATGTTTATTTACTTACTTATTGAGGTATTATTGACATTATATTAGTTTCAGATATATAACATGATTCAATATTTGTATGTTATTGTGAAATGATCACCAAATAAGTCTAGTTAACATCCATCACCACACATAGGTACAGAATTTTTTTCTTGCGATGAGAAGTTTTAAGATCTCTCTTAGCAACTTTCAAATGTGCAATACAGTATTATTAACTATAGTCACCATGCTGTACATTACATCCCTATGACTTATTTTATAACTGGAGATTTATACCTTTTGACCACCTTCACCGGTTTCACCGACCCCCATCTCTGGCAACCATCAGTCTGTTCTCTTCCATAAATGTGTTTTAAGTGAAAGAATACAGTAAACTCTTTTTCAGTGTCCAGAGTGCTTTTTGGAGATACTTTGGCTCTCAAGAGCTCTTGCTAACCAAATTAATTAATTTACAATGGGAAGATATAACTTTCCAATGACCAGAATACTCCTGCCTGCTAACTATGGCACGTCTTCCCTGAATCAAGATGTTGGGGAAACTGAATTAATAATCAGGAGGTAGCATATAGTAATAGTTGGAGCATAAACT